CACGCCGCTGCGGTTCTGCGTCAAGTTCTACACGCCGGACCCCGGACTGTTGGAGGATGAGCTCACCAGGTGAGGGGAGGGGAGGAGGGAGGAGGTGTGATCGAACTTTTATGATGTGTTTGTTGGTTTATTTATTTTTAAAATGTTTTTCTCCTGTAACATCAAATAGGTAACTAGGAACGGCATTATTCTTGTCAGTTTGGTAGTGTTTGAGTGCTTAATCAGCTGCTTGCACTGTATGCTTCCCAGGAAGCTGAGAATGTTTCTGAGTGTTCTGTGGTCTGCTGGGGTAATGATATGTAGTGTAAAGTGCACAAACGCTTGCTTTCGAGTGGGGACATGCGCTGTACAAATGCTATTTTATTATCATCATCATTATTATTATTATTATTATTATTATCATCATCACCATCGTCATTATTATTGTCATTATTATTATCATCATCATCATCATTATTATCATTTTTATTATTTTTATCATCATCATCATCAACATAATGATTATTATTATCATCATCATTATTTTCATTATTATGATTATGATTATTTTTATCATCATCATTATCATTACCATAAACCCGTCCACTCCCCCCCTCCCAGGTACCTGTTTGCCCTCCAGGTACGTAAAGACCTACTGCTCGGAGAGCTGCGGTGCAGCGAGAACACGGCTGCCCTACTAGCCTCGTACGTGGTACAGGCCGAGCTGGGAGACTTTGACCTTGAGGAATACCCTGAGGCCACCTATCTGGCGGGATTCAAGTTTGTGCCCGAGCATCTACAGAGTCATGAGTTTATGGCTAAAGTGATGGATTATCACAAACAACACATGTGAGTGGGTGGTGCTGGTGGTGGTGGTTGTTGTTGTTGTTGTTGTTCTGCAGTCATGAGTTTATGGCCAAAGTGATGGATTATCACAAACAGCACATGTGAGTGGGTGGTGCTGGTGGTAGTGGTTGTTGTTGTTGTTCTGCAGTCATGAGTTTATGGCTAAAGTGATGGATTATCACAAACAGCACATGTGAGTGGGTGGTGGTGGTTGTTGTTGTTGTTGTTCTGCAGTCATGAGTTTATGGCTAAAGTGATGGATTATCACAAACAGCACATGTGAGTGGGTGGTGGTGGTGGTTGTTGTTGTTGTTGTTGTTGTTGTTCTGCAGTCATGAGTTTATGGCTAAAGTGATGG